TTGTTTGATTATTAAAGATGCGCTCAGACAGATGTCACATTGCGCAGATTATTCCAGCTCTTGGACAGACTACTGGCTTAATCACCGAAGTAATTAACAAGCTTTAGTACTTGTGAAACTGATTTAATGCCATAATTCAGGCCGTGTGCTACTCGTGACATGCAAATACTTGAGGGCAAGTTGCTGCTGCTGGACAAATTTCACTGAAGCAATTTTGGCCCTGACGTTAGGAAACTGTACGAAACGCTCTTGCCGAGCTCGAGCAGCATTAGCAAGGCTGCAGTCTGCACTGATAGTGCCTGATGACAGTGGTGAATGGTATTAGAAAAGCGACGTAAGATGAAACAATTCTCGAATACGTTATTGAGTGAGTCACAAAACCGTTTAGAAGGCCAACAATGATATTCTGAAGGCTTCTAGGAACCTAGAAAGAGGATGGCAAAGCCTGAATCTGCTGGAACCACACGGTGCTGCTAACCCATATTAAGATTTCAGTCATTTACATGGCAGAATATATCCCTGAATCCCTTTCTCTTTTGCTTGCACCGTTTGTTAACTTTTCATCGTTGTGTTTTCTGACTGTGCCTCTTCTTTTAGGCTTTTGTTATAGCATGTACCATGACAGAGTGATTGGTGAAGGATCATGCAAGCTGACAGTCCATAACATGACCTTGTACAATTCCGTAACAATCCAATGATCAACCGAGAATGACCCATGGTGATAAGGTCATCAATGCCACCGCTGCCTTCCAGATGCATCTGGGAAAATCAAAAACTAGAAGAGACGTTTCTATTATAGACCAGACGACAGTTTGGGAAGTTTTCTCTATAACACAACTCTATGAAACTCCATTAATATTAGTTTCAAAGCTCATTTTCTAGCACCATGTCATGCAGTTGCTGAAAGTTTTGTATATGCTACCTTAAACTCTGATTCTGGCTAATTTACACACACTAAAACTTCTTAACGATTGATTAATCGATAACGGATTTATTACGTGAATAAGCAATATTGGCAATGTTCAACAGGTAAAAGTAACGTCATCAAACATCGGGTTAAAGCAGGGTACTTGGATACGGAGTTATGCCTTGTTATGGTTTGCCTGAATGGCAAAAAGAAAAAGTAGGAAGACCGGTGAGATTGATGGATGTTGTCCATCGAGTGGATGATCGCTAATGGGGGCATTTCAACCTCAGCTTGTTATACGCAAAGACTCTGATGAAAGGTTTCTGAAAAGTGAGCAAACTGGTGAAATTTCCAGTTCGCTTTACACGTTACAATGACATATTTGGAGTTCAGTGCTCGTGCCATTATGAAAATTGGCCACACACCGAATCAGTCTTGTCCCGAAAGATCCCAAGCTCCATGGTTTATTATATCCTTAGTTATCATTCACAGACAGCTTGAAGTAAAGTAAAAAAATCAAAATTGCATGCTTTGTTATTGCTGGCAGCGATGCACTCTGATAATAAGACGTGATGGAGAACGATTTACTCGAACAGGAAAAAAATGCATAAAAACCATCATATCCTTCTGGCAGCAGTGAACCGGAACCAAAGAACAATTTATAGAATTGCGAAGTACCAGTTTCACCAAAGCACATAACAACTGCACATAGTACTGCAGTACTATTACGTTTGTTTACAGAGCAGTTTGATGCCCCTCGCCTAAAATCAAAATGAATGGTCGATTCACCCAATTTGCAGACTGACATGGAGACGAAAATATACTTCCTAAGTATTAGTTATTAAACGAAAAAATTTTCTTCACTAAAGCTGATTTCAGCATTGCTATTGTTAACAGGGACGACCCTAGGCTTCTAGATTTATCACAGTCTTAAAAACACCGTGCAGCTAAATTAAAAGTTAAAGTAGTATTTTACTTGTTACGGTTGCCATAGAAGAAGTGGAGGTATTTTACATAGTGTCTCGTGATCGAGAATGATTTGACTCAACAAGAGAACGAAAACGATCATTGCCTCTTGGCAGCAGTGAGGCCGGAATGAAGGTATTTAGAGAACCGTGAGCTACAAATTGCAAAAGCCACACAATCAACCATTCAAGTCGGATTTTATGTCCGTAGAGACAACTTTGTCATTCTTTCATGTAAAGTAAAGCTTATCCTTGGCGTTAATCACAGAATGTGAGCGTGAGAAAAATACTCACCACACCCGGTCACTAGACAACTGGAATTTGGGAAATTTCTAGATTCTACTCGAGAACTAATTGAACCAGCTTTCAGAAAAAATGGCAAATTTTCTGGCGACAGCCCCTGGTGAGGTCGTGGCTTCGCACCCAACCTCAAAGCTCTCGGTCTTCTTCTAGCAACCGAGCTGCTTCTCGATGAACTCTGAATGCGCAACGTACAAATTGTTCCAGTGGCATGTGCCCCGAAACGAAAACCACACATGGTCACAGACACGGACCAACAAACTGACAATGAGTAAGAAATAACGACATACCTTTGCGACTTTATGCTTTGTTGTTGCCTCTGCGTCGGCTTCGGATTCTTCCAGGCCCCCTTCGGCCACCAAGTTCGGCAGTTCCTCACCGTCGCCAACATTGCCGTCGATCGGGGTCAGCGGCAGACCTTCCCAACGGTTGAGATGGTCTGCAAAATCAAAGTTAGATTCGGGCGTATACCAGACGGAGCTGGATCTTCTCCAGAGGGACTCCGGTGGATTAGAGAAGGTGGTATTTTCTATCAAGTGATTTTGTTTCTTAATGCAGCAGCAGGCCGATGCGAAATATGCCATAAGCCACGATTAAAACAACAGTTAAAGCTCATCCGACGATCAAATACGCGTGTTTTCGATGTCGTCGAAGTGTCGATTAGGGATTGTCGTTTTTTCGACCATCGGTCGGTTGATCTGTCGGTCGAAAGAGACCCATGTTCGAACGACCGGCCTCAAAAAGCGGAAATGAACAGTGGTGACGATGGCCAGCGTCGGTACATCGGTCGAAAATGCGTGCAACGATCAAGAAGTGAAGGAGGGATGAAATCGTCGATCAACTAATTAGGTAATTAGGTAAGAATTTTAGATGAAATCCGTTCGTCTCGCTGGTGGCAGCTTTGTGCAATGTGCAATCATCGGCCGCGCGCTGCTGCCAACTCGAATCGGTAGATAGTCAGAGTCGATGCCAGACTCAACCGAACAAGAAGACGTGACTAGGAAGTGGTGGAGGAGGACGACAGTGAGGGAAAAAAGTTAATTGCTCCAAACCAACGCTCTGATCACTTGTGAATGAGGACTGCTGCAAGACTGGCAGCGGCGTTGTGTTTATCATCCCATGCGAATGATTTGTTCACTGCTAAACGCACTCACACATAAACTACAAGCCGCCCGGCGGCGGCCGACGTCTATCTCTCGATCTTCCTCGATCCAGTTGAGCAGAGGTACGCTCGTCGCATAAGGCAGCGGAGGGAGAACATGTCGACTAGCGTCCTTACGAAGCGCACGTTGCCCAAGGAATAGAAACGAAACGCTCAAAACGTAGGTGACACGGAGGCAAACGAATCTTCAGTCAAGACAACCCTCCACGTTGGCAAGTTGTCACCGTGTTCTCCGGAGTATCGGTCAGCGTTGTGACTACGAGGCTTACGACGCCGTCTAAACGACCCTCGGCCATTAATGCTCAATGCTTTCACCGTAAAGCGCCCCTCCAATGAAACTATGCATTTTTTCCATGCACGTATCGATTATTAATTATGCGGCGATACTAACGACCTCCGAAAATCAATTCAAAGATGAGCAGCTTGCAATCAACTCGACGTCAAACTTGGCTGTTCATTCCTACGGCACGCCGTCCCGCTTGCCTCTTGACCTGACTATGTCATGCGTGAAAATTACCCTTAAATTTAAACATTGACACATAATGCAAGGTTTTAAAAAAAGTAGCCAGTTGCTTAACTGGCCTCCCAGCTGCTCACTCATGTATACCGCCTTTTTTGCCTCTAGGCGTAGCAAAATGTCTTGCAATTTACATGACGTTGTTTATCTGCATTCGCTTTGATTTACATGAGAAAAAAATCAACGACATAATCGACAACACTTTTTCAGACGCACATGACGAACTCTGGAAATGAGCAATTTGCATGACATAATGCTCGCGGCTTAGGTGTTAATTGGATGGATACACTTGCGACTATTTGATTACGGCCATCTGTAGGATTTGATCTGCTCGTATTCCACTTCACCGCTTTTGACGTCCTTAATTTGAGGGATGCAGTAATGATCTTAACCCTCTATGCACGGACATGCACGCAACTGACACTAAGGTGGGATACATTACATGAACAATTCCCGTTACGGTTAGCCATTAATGGGTGGAGAAACGAGTCACGTAATCGATTATTTTTGATTTTACAATGAAGAGATGGAACTCAAAATAAACTAAGTCAATTTGAGAAACATGTCATGCAAATTGATGCAATACTGGGAAGAGTCCTTACGGTGAAACCCTATGTGTCTGGTGATGTTATCACAGTTATTATGGCGATATCTGGAAAACTGTCGAACACTGGCTGATGGTAAAATCATTCCTTTGAGACCTGCGAGATACAAACCGCCTGCAGCAGTTCATGCAGAGTCGTTTGGGTTTACAGATCAGAGAAGCGACCGTAAATCCTACTCCAGTGCAAACTTCCGGTTACAGGAGTTTTCATGTAAACTCTGCATAGCGAACAGTAGTCCGTTATTCTGGGGTCACCTGCCACAATGGTAGTTTTCGATGTCGTCTATGAGTACATATCGTTTCTCATTTCCGAGTTCTTATGACAAATGTGGCATTGACTTAGTGGTAGCTGCCTAGGGGTTCGATTTAATAGGTCACTACATAATATTTGGGCATACTGAACCGATATCCTCGTTGGTGCTTGGTCCAACGCATGCAGTAAAGGTGCCAAAATTCAATGGAAATGTGGCTGCTTCAATGGATTCTTTGGCAGATGGCAGCAAAGCCATAGCCATGGATAATCAAATTGGTCACATCACCAGAATCAGAAACTTCACATCCCATTCTCTTTTAACTTTCTGGCACATGACAGTTTCTCATACACAGTCTGATTTTCAAGTTTCAGCTTTCTTAAAGATCTTTTATTTCTGCTGAGCACTGAAATTTCCAGGTTTTCTTCTTTAATTGATAAATGAATAAGTTCTGACTCAAGACAATCATAAATGCATAAAACCTTTGACTGCTCGCCCGATGGCTTTTTTGAACATTAATGAGTTCTAATGATGTACCAAGGTACAAAGTGTCGAGATCAGCTGTTAATTTACAACTAATCTCCTTGAGCATGCGAGACCTTTAATTATCATTTATGAGACTCACATTCGAAGACTGAAATTCGCTTTCGCTACCTTAATCACAGAATACGTGCATACTATTCAGTATTCGTGAATCTTATGCAGAAGATGCTTCTTTGTACTTTCAGTATCTTAATATGCACAACCACGCGAACAAGACAACCGTGTGGCAGTATCTACGGCTAGCACAGAACCACACTTTAAAAAAGAGGAATTTATGAGGGGTGAATTATTTGCGGTACCGCTGATTTTCTGCGAAGGTCAGTTATTGCTTTTGGAATGATGAAGTTTCGTCGTCTATCGTGTGCATGGTGTGCTGCCAGCAGGTGTTTTGAATCGCACTGTTGTCTGTCTGCAAGCCACATATTGATATTGTACTGATATTAATACGGCTGTGCACTTTCTGTTGAATCCGTGCGTCGTTAGTGTTAGGTTATTTGTTCATTATATGGTTCTGCTTCTCCGGTGTGACTCGTCGTTGTTTATTGATTACATGTCAGCTAAACTGTCTCTTTCTACTCAAGAAAGCTGTTCATTCTTCTCCCTAATTGATGGGTTATGGATTTGTTCTAGTTTGTTCCGGAAGAGCGATAGTTGAATGTCAAATTCTTCAAAAACAGGTGCAGAGACTTTCGGATTTTTGGAGCTATTCATCCAAGTGTTAGCGGCACCGCATTTCTAAGGCTTTAAAATCATACCACCTACGGTTCACTTGTCGCGTCCCTAAGTTGCTGCGCAGTATTTAAGAGCTTGTGGAGCTACATCGAGAGGCTTTTCTAAAGGTGTAAGTTTCCAGTGATTGATTTCTCATGCAAGACCTCTCTTACTACTGTAGAGAGCAGTGAACTGTAGTGATTTATTTACCCTTTTCTTTAACCATAAAGCTAAGCACGAATATGAACAACAATTGCAGTGCAAGAACTTGAATATCAGGTCTGAGCTAACCTCGGGATAAGAATCGTTTCCTTTAAATTTTGTGCATTTTTATAAATTGTAACCAACCAGTCTATCGCAAATCTAGATGGGCAGTTAGTGCGACATGTAGAACAATAAGATCATATTCAAAAAACGCTAAAACGGATTTCATACTTCATGAATGGGCACCTTTTCTATGATTACATTTGAGAAACAGGAGAAAGGCTCAAAACAGAGTTGGGAGCACGGTACCTCTCAGCAGAGCCGACGAAAATGCCGTTGGCCTCAGAAAAAATATCACATTCTGAAGGATTTTACGAGTCTGTAGAACCTGATCAAAATTGTTTGATGAAGGAGAGGTTCCAAATGAGGGAAGAAGAAACTTCTACAGGCAATCGCGGCAGAACAGTATCCATTCTTTCTTCAGTATGTTCCCTCAAAGAACGGTGCAATATTTGAGTCAACTCTCTCCAGAGATTTTGGTATTGGTCAAATCTTCTGTCGCTCCTGGCATATCATATTGCCCTCGACGATATCTCGGTACATGTTCTTTGGTATTCCTATTATCGCCTTGTTTGGCAGGGTAACTGCTTGAACCACATCTTTACCGTACTCGACAGACCTTCCTTCCATGTAACAACTCAAGGAAACGTAAATTTGGCAAACTTTCTATATTCGGTGCTATTCCTTAAAGGCTTCATAACAAGGTACGCAATGTGTGGTCTATTTTGCTGCCATCGCATATCTATTGAAGAATTCCCATCCATACGGAGCTATTCCTTGTGTACCTGCGGGGAGGTCAAATGTTCCGCTTCATAGAGAAGTGTCGGTTTTACTATCGTTCTGTATAGCTATCCCTTTAGACTGACGAACATCTTCTTATCGCTATATACGCCACTCACTTAACTCCATTACAGACATGGCTTTTCCTACTGAACTTATTAATTGTCGGCGGATTTCCCAATGGTCTTAAATGGTGAAAACAAGACACTTGAATTCTTGGGCTAACGCGGCATATTGCTCACAACTTTCACTCAGCCTTTGATTTCCATTCCGTTTTACCCTCTGAAATAGCAGTATATATATTCTGACTTGCCATTGCTGAACTGAAGTCCGTTTTTCTCAAGGATCCTTCTCAGTGCCTCATTTTTTGCTCATAATGTCTCTGTTTTCGCAGCTTAGCATTACATAACCTGCAGGGCGCACACAGTGGAGGAGCTGTTTCCTGCCATGGTAGAAGGAACACATAGCATCGTAAACAAGTAGGAGGAAGCGTATGCATTTAGTAGAGAATCATCGTCGTTCTTAGGCGACGATTCTTCTGAATAATTTCCTATCGTCTAGCTTCTAGAACCACCTAGTGTTGTGCAACCAAATTTGTGCTCCAGTTTTATTTATGCACATTACATCATTACTAAAGTTTAGATAGCGTTACACTCCTTCTGAAACATTAAATTCATGCCATTTAGGTCTCATAATCTGATCAGAAGAAGCTCTATCAAAGGTTGATTCCAGGTTCCACAGATGACATCACAAGAGTGACGACACGAAGCGCAAGAGATGACCTACACTGTAGCATTTATGAAGGCTCATACTTATTTTTCTGGAACAAATGCACTTTTGACTAGTAACATTGG